AGGGTTAGTATCTTCTAGTAACTGTCGTTCCTAGACTAGTCTTCTTGACTTCGTCTTTCGAACTCCGACCATTCCAAGCCATTCATTCCTAGCCCTTTCCCTCGCCTTGGAGACCCCTGGAGGTTTACGTTTTGATACGAAGGATAGGGCACTCAAATTCTCCACCTAGCTCCACCACATGGAGCTATACCTACAAAGTCAGCACCAAAATGGTGACATTCTTTGGGCGCACGCTTCTGGTGACCTGCCTTCGCCTAAGCTCCCTCCTGACCTGGCTCCTACAACTACTACTACAGACTAGGAGCACTTTGCTCAGGCCCATATAGCCCTACCGATGTGGTAGTCTCGTGATACTGGAGCTTGTATCGCCTTCGGCAGCATTCTCCCCGAGACTTAGAAGGGCCACTTAAGCCGGGTTCGATCTGCCAATGATTGTCTTGCTACGATTGAGGCCCGTTACTTCACTCCATCCTCCGCCTAGCTTGGTCGTCTCTTCATGCCATTTCTATTCTCTGACCTAGAAGCATTTGACAGTACTGCTGACCCTGTTACCCACCTGCTCGCTTGACGCTAGCTACCTTACTACTTGTACCGAGGCTAAGCTTGCAGCCCCCCCTCCCCCCCCCCTCTCTCCCGCGCCCATGCACATCACTATCCACTTCATAGCCTCCCTGACCATCTAGCACCTGTGCACGATGTACTTTTTCAGAAGCACCCTTGTGAGCGCACTATCGACGTAATTGAGACTCCTCTCAAGGACATCGAGAGTAGCATCCGCTCTGTTGCATCTGTTCCTGGCATCTTAGTTCCCTAGCTCTTTCAGGGGTGTACTATCCTACAGCTCCCCACTTTCACTACTTCTCTTGCCTTGACTACATCTCCTGCTTCTGACGAGTCCGCAATTTTGTTCGTCGCTAGTGTGCGAGCTCGAGGCAGGGGAGGTAAGAAAGGGGGACCGGGTGGTGGCATCAGTGGTGGTGGAAGGGGTGGCAGAGATAGTAGCAATACTAGTGCGTCTAGTGAAGGCGGTGCTGGAGGTGGTACTAGGCCTGCGGGCTTGACGAGTGAAGGTGCTGGACCTATTGGTTGGTACATAGCACATCAGCAGCAACACTCACAGCACCAGTAGCAGTCACTGTAGCGGCACTAGCCCCAGAAGCAACAGACATACCAGGGACCACAGCATCAGCAGGGATAGCCGCAGTAACAAGTTCAGCGGCAAGTACAGCAGGAGTCTCAGCAATGAGTACTTAGGAGCATTGGTTGTTGCGGTGGGCCACTCAGCTGCGTGTCGCATAGTGTCACTGCCATTTCCTGTCCGTACGTTGAGCAGACTGGCACTCGTCAGGGTCGCCCCTGTGACTGTCTTCACCCTCCAGGTCAGTGCTTTGCACAACTCACAGACAATCTCGTTGCAGTACGACTTTGACCCCACTCCAGGCTAGGACCCGTTGGCTCGCTACGTTGGAATGGCGTTGTTTCATATGTCCGCAGTAGAGTTGCTTGAGGCTTTGCGATATGATTTTGTGATGCATGTTGATGTTGACTATAGTTATGTTGAATCTGTTTGCTCGCGTATTCGTAGTCGAGGATCCTTGCCCGTTGCTAGTGTAGGTGATTATGGTTCCAGTCTAGGTGCTTGTGTGGTTACTAGCCAGGTGTATTTGCGGCTGTTGCGTCACTCTCCTTTACACTAGACTCTGTTGCATCTTAGTGTTTTTTCCGTGATCACACGACGGTCACAACGCTACGTACTCCGGTTCCGGTCGCCTTGGCTGATCCTACTTCAGGTCTAACAGTGGCCCATAGCTCTACCACCCTCCCATGCCCGGCGGACCCCTCTGCTGTCCTCACTGTTCTCCACACCCCGTCGTTCTCCAGGAACTTGGTAATAGGACCCCTTCAGGACCTAGAGGAGGTGTGAGGAGTGGCAAGAACCGCCACTCTTTCTTTCGCCCACCGCACCCTTCCAGACTCTTCATCTGGAGGTCTGGGGCCCTGCCCCTCGCCCTGGGCCTGGGAATGAGAGCTTGTTTCTCGTGGTCGTTGACAACTTTCTCCCGCTATACTACTGTGTTCCCCCTGCGGAAGAAGTCTGACGTAACTTTTACCCTGATCTGGTGGTTGCTTGCCACTAGCATTACACGTGCTAGTCGTGTCCTTGCTAGGGTGAGTTTCGCTCTGCCGTGCTTGCCGATTTCTATCGTGAGCAGGGCATCGCCCAGTCTAGGACGCTTCCAAAGTCTCCATAGCAGAATGGGGTTGCTGAGCGCCGCATAGGCTTGGTCATGGAGATCGCCCGCACCTCCATGATCCATACCTTGTCGCCCTATTTTCTGACCCTACGCTGTTTGCTACGCCGCCCACTAGCTGAAACTCTGGCCTCACGTCTCTCATCCAGAGCCTTCACCGACCAGTCTATTGATTAGGTCCTTGGTGTTGAGTCGGAGATCCATATCCAGGGCTGCCTTGCTGCCGCGATACCTCTGCGGACAAGCTCTCAACTCGTTCCCTCCCCTGTGTCTTCCTAGTAGACTCCTCGGACTTTGAGTTTTACCACTCGTCCCACCCCCGGCTCCTTGACTCCTGTTACATCCGCTTTGAGGAGTCTGTGTCCTACTACGTCTCCTTACCCCACTGAGGTCTTCCGGTCCCCCCCCCCTCTTCCTTGCTCCCACTCCTCCTCTTGGTCCTGTTCCTCCGGTATACTTCCCCGCCCTCCAGTCCCTGTCCCGTCAGGTGTGTCTCACGCTACCCCTCTGCCTAGGTATCCCTTCAGGTATCGTATTCTTCCCCACAATCATCACGGCAGCCTTCGACACGATAGCGACATGTTGTAGTAGACACTGGGGATGTTGGTGCTTGAGAAACGGGCGCTGGAGGTGCTGGTTCCGACAGCGTTGGTGCTAAAGGCATGCACATTGAGGGCGTCATTTTTGTTGGTAGAGTTATTGGCACTAGTTGTGCTACTTTTGGGGGTGATGGAGTTGGAGGCGCTGACGCACGGGGTGCTGGAACTGTCGGTGCTAGCGCTAGGGATGCTTGTTCTTAATGTGTTGGGTTGGGGGGTGCTGAGTTATCAGTACTGGCACTAGATGTGCTAATTCTGAGGGGGCTTGTGAGGATCTGGTTCAGGAAAGATTGAACTATTGAATGATGCACCTGGGTACAAGGCGAGGCTATATATAGGCTCGACACAAAGGCAGTAACCCTGGTGTTACTAGAAGGTTCCGCGGGTCGCGAAGCGTCCCGAACGGGTCCTTCCCGAATTCGGTAGAAGGCAATTCGGTGGCAACCGAAAAGCCTAGAATTCGGTGCACTCAACCTAGTTCGGTGCCTAAAACTATAATAATATAGTAAAAGCAACGAACCTAGGAAATCTAGCAAAAGCAAGCAAAATAAAGCAAAGCTAAGCTAGATAATGCATGATAGAGCATAATCAAGCTAGCAAAACATAGCAAAGCCGTCGTACTCTCACACGTCCCCCCCTCAAAGCTGGGTGGCATGAGATACACCCTGCTTGACAAGATAATCCTTGAGAGCACGGCATGCGTTGCCCATATCAGCTTCTGCAACCCAACTATCCTCCGATGGGTCATATCCCTTCCAACGTATCAGGAACTCGAGCGTGTTGCCGCGTCTGCGTCGATGAGCGAGAACTCGTTCCACCTCGTACTCTGGTTCATCCTGTACGAGAACAGGTGGTAATGGTGGTAGCTGTCGTCCTGTGAACTGCTGGTTGGGGTCCTTGTAGGGCTTCAGCAGCTGAACAAGTCCATAGCACAGGAAGAAAGAAGATTTCCCAGTGGCCACATGCGATGCGTTGTTGTAAGCGAACTCAAGCGTTGGTAACTGTTGATCCCAGTGGCTGATGTCGTCCTTGCAAGCTGTGCGTAGTAACTGTTCAACCACCTGATTGAGTCGCTCAGTCTGTCCGTCAGTCTGGGGGTGGTATGCTGAAGACATTGCAAGCTTTGTCCCCAACAATCCCATGAGTTCCCTCCAGAACTTACTAGTGAATTTTGGGTCTCTGTCTGAGATGAGCGTAGCGGGGATGCCGTGGATGGTGATGATGCGGTCAAAGAAGAGGTGACCAGTTGCTTTAGCTGTAGCCGTGGCGTTGGTCGGAATGAAGTGTCCCATCTTAGAGAACTTGTCGATCACCACGAGTATAGCGTCATGCCCTCGTGAGGTCGAAGGAAGCCCAGTGATGAAGTCTAGGCTGACAACTTGCCATGGCTGCTCCGGTACAGGTAGAGGCTGAAGTAACCCTGCTTTTTTCTGCTTGCTACTCTTCATCTGCTGGCACGTGTCGCATGAGGTGACGAACTGCTGCACGTCTGCTGCCATCCGGGGCCAGTAGTAATACTTCGCTATTCCCGCTAACGTCTTGTTGCTCCCGAAATGTCCCGCGTATGCCACATCGTGGAACTCCTCCAGTAAGATCTGTCGGAGCGGGGCATAGTTCGGTACCCAAATCTTTCCCGATCCCTTTCTTACAGCTAAGTCATTCTCCCACTGTAACAGCTTCTGTTTCTCTGCTGTAGCGATCTCTGCGTCCACGGAGTACCCATGTTGGAATAGAATCTTGAGCAGAGGGTTCATCCCGTCGAGCTGGATGCCTGCTACATGACCAGGGCGGCTCAACGCGTCAGCTTTGTTGTGGAGCCCGGGCTTGTAGACGATGTCGTAGTGGAAGTGGGTTTCCAGGAAGTCCACCCACCGCACCTGTCGTCGTGAGAGTGTCGGCTGCAACCTCAGGTATTTGAGGCTGCAGTGGTCAGTGTAAACTGTAAAGTGTAGGCGATGGGCTGCAAACCGCGTCCGTGATCCTGCATCAGTACTGCTCCGACTGCTTGGTCACTAGCGTCTGCTTCCACCATGTAGTCTCTGTCTGGATCCGGTAGGATGAGTACTGGCGCTGTAGTCAGTGCTGTCTGTAGCTGCTCCATGGCTTGCTGTTGAGGAGTATCCCATTTATAGGGCGTATCCTTTTTCAGTTAGTTGGTCAGTGGCGCTGCTATCTTAGCGTACTGCGGCGTGAACCTATTGTAGTAGTTGGCGAAGCCTAGGAACTGCTGCAACTCCTTCACGTACTCTGGAACTTTCCACTTCTTGACGGCTTCGATCTTCCGCGGGTCCACGTGTACGCCCTCCGCACTCACCATGTGCCCGAGAAACTGCACCTTTTTCAGGGCGAAGTCGCTTTTCGACAGCTTCAAGTATAACTTGTTCTCCCGCAGGATCTCGAAGACTTTCCGCAGATCCTCCTCGTGCTTCTTCATGGTCTTGGAGTAGACCACGCATTCGTCCAGCAGGGGCCGTAGGATATGATTCATCTCCGCCTGGAACGTCGCTGGTGCGTTGCAGAGTCCGAACGGCATCACTAAGTATTCGTAGGAGCCATATCTGGTACGGAACGCCGTCTTGTGGATCGAGTTGTCTGCCATCTTGATCTGCCAGTAACCCGACCATAGGTCCAGCTTCGAAAACACCGTCGCACCACGCAGTTGGTCTAGAAGATCGTCTATGCGCGGTATGGGGTACTTGTTATCGACTGTCTATTTGTTCAGTGCCCGGTAGTCGAATCCGTAAACTACCGTCTGGCTTTGGAGTGAAGAGAACCGGTGCGCCGTAGGGAGAGGTGGATGGGCGGATCAGTTGTCTGTCCAGTAGATACTCGATCTGTTTTTTCATATCTGTAAGTTCGATCGGACTCAGTCGGTATGGTGCACGTGAGACGGGTTTTGCACCTGGTTCTTCCACGATCTCGTGCTCGTGGGTGCGCGCTGGAGGTACTCCTGCAGGCAGGTCATCCGGCATGATGTCTTTGTACTGCTCCAACACCTCCTTTACTGCTGCAGGTAGCTCCGAGTTCGGCTTCTCCTCCTCTGCTGCTGCCATAACCAGTGCTAAGTAACCCGTGTTACTTTCGTTCACCGTCCGTTCGAACCGCGCCAGTGTCGTTTCAGGAACATCCCCTGTATCCGTCCAGCTTCGCAGCTCCACACGTTTCCCGTTGTTGTAGATACACGCCTTCCGATTAACCCAGTCTATCTCTGGGTTGAACCGCTTCAGAAAATCACGCCCCAAGATGAAATATAATCCCTTGATGTTCGTGATCGACAACGTCGGCTTCCACCTCAACGCCCCTATCTGCAGCTGCAGTGTTGACTCGTCGTGGATGGGAAGCTTCGTACCGTCCACCATCGTTGCTGTAAACTGGGTCTCCTCCGATATCTCTCCAATTTTCTCCAACGTCCCGCGGTCGCACACCGAGTGGGACGCACCACTGTCTGCCAGTGCCTGGAGGCGTCGCCCGTTGCAGATCACCTCGAGTACTAGTGGCTGCTGCCGCTCCGAGTAGCTGTAGATGGTGTTGCTTACAGGATCATAAGGTAGATCAAATGTATCATCCCTTGGTTCTGCGCTCGAAGCCGATGACTCAGTTTTCAAATTAGTAGGGTTAGAAGGATTTATCCGAGGCCGATTCAGCTTCTCTGGGGCCTGGAACCTTCCCCTAAGCCTTTGCAGCTGTGTAGGCTCCTGTGGGGAACGGCTGGGAGCCTTTAAACAGGGCTGCTGGGAGAGAATATTAACTCATCGGAATGCTCGAACCTTTCAGTGCTCCGGAGTAGGGTCCCCATATTACCCGGTACCGGTTTAATTTCTGACTCTCCCTTAATAAAGGCTTGAAAACCACGAGAAGTAATATTCTTAGTTAAAGTATCTTTATAGGATAACTTTAACGAATTCTTACTTGTCGAGGTGTACGGCTGGAGTTTCCCGGTCGGTGCAGGGTCTTGTTTCGCGGAGTCTCCTTTTGTCTCGACGATTTCTCCTGGAGCCGGCTGGTCGTGACGTTTTAATTTCGCGCCACCGTATTCTCCTTTTTTCGCCCTCTCCGAAGTTGCCACGTTGTCCGTTTTCTGCTTCGGGGGTGCCACACTGTTCTTGTCCCTCAGCTCCGCACGGCTTTTCTTCATTTTCCAACACGCCAAGATACGATGTCCTGTAGCGCCGCAAAACTCGCACGTTTTATTTTTTTTTTCTAGCCACTGCGTCACATCGTCCTTGTCGTTCTCCATCGGGGCAGCAGTCGTGGGTGGTGCCAATCACCCCAAGCCACTATTTGGCTGGTTGCGTCGTGTTCCGTAGTAGCTACTGTTCAACGCGTCGAACTGTCTGATCAATGCTACTCGAAACTTCGCCCACGTCCCTTCGCCTTGGACTATTCTGTTGCTAATCCACTCTAGACCCGGGCCTCGTAACAGTGTTGCTGCGAGTCATATGCGCAATGCGTCTTGGTTGAGGGTCGTGCATCCAACGGCTTCGAAGAAATTTTCTAGTACAGCTACAAATCGACGGACGTCGCTCCCTTTCGCTCTAGGATCGAACGCGTCTGGTCGCCTCGGCTTTACTGCTTCGAGATTAAATGTAGCTGCTGCCGTTGTCGCAGGTACAATTATCGGTGTCGCCGTCGTCGCTTCTGCTGCTGCTGCGGCTACCGATTGGTTCGCAAGGAGTTTTTCGAGTCGTGGGAGCGCCGCAAATATCTGCTTATGCTCAGCACGTAACTCCGCGATTTTTCTTTTTTATAAAGAACTCTATATTTCCCTCCCTTTTGGCTATTTAGAAAAAGAAGCGCGACAAAAATAATTGAATTATGGGTGCTGGTCAATTTACTGCGAGTCGAATCGACTGTAGAATCGACGAGCTCGAATTCTGTACGTTGCACAAATCCCCCCTAGGCGAAATTCGCGTCCGATCTCGGTTGTTGAAGAAAAATCAATCCGACGGTCTCAATTCCAACGTTTTTGGTCGAAATTCTCTGGGCCGTTGAGATTGAATTCGATCTGACGGTCGAAATTCCAACCTTTTTACCATTAAATCTGAGGGGGGTTCAAAACCGAATCGAGGGGGACTTAGAAAAAATCGCGCGGAACTGGTTTTACATACCCGTATCGGCGCTTTCGTCGTCGCCCCCGCGGTTTTTAAAGGCCGGAACTAAGCGGAAGAAGAACTCGAGTGTAAACAGGCTCTGATTACCAAGTGTGAGGATCTGGTTCAGGAAAGATTGAACTATTGAATGATGCACCTGGGTACAAGTGGAAGCTAAATATAGGCTCGACACAAAGGCAGTAACCCTGGTGTTACTAGAAGGTTCCGCGGGTCGCGAAGCGTCCCGAACGGGTCCTTCCCGAATTCGGTAGAAGGCAATTCGGTGGCAACCGAAAAGCCTAGAATTCGGTGCACTCAACCTAGTTCGGTGCCTATAACTATAATAAATATAGTAAAAGCAACGAACCTAGGAAATCTAGCAAAAGCAAGCAAAATAAAGCAAAGCTAAGCTAGATAATGCATGATAGAGCATAATCAAGCTAGTAAATCATAGCAAAGCCGTCGTACTCTCACAGGGCTGGAGCTGGAGGCGCTACTCGTGCGGCGCCTACTCCCGCCTCCCCACCGATACCCGATGCGTTTCCAGTCAGCTGGAGCGCGAGGAGTAGGAGAGGTTGGAGCAGGAGAGGCTCGAGCTAGAGCATCACCAGTGGTCGCGGCAGCAGGGTTTAGGGTTTAGAGCTTGTGTAAGGAAACTTTATATCCACCTTTTTGGGTGGACTTAGTGCTTAGCATGCATCCCCAACTTTCGGCCGATTTCATCGAGTTCCCGGATGTGTCCATGATTCTTCCACATGTTCACTTACGGAACGGTGGAATCTTGTTAGTAGTTTTGCACCGTGAGATTCTCGATTGATCCTAGAGGGGTTATAGGCGCGTTCGCCCCGGAGGGTTATGGGCGCACGGACCCGATACACAAACAAGACAGTTTTATCCCAGTGGTATAGTGGCTGAGATTCTGACATGGTATCAGAGCGGTCTCGGGTTCGAATCCAGGTGTATGCACATATAGGCCGTTGCCGCTGTGCTCAGTCCTCGACCTCCCGGTGTGGGATGGTGTCACCAAATCTGCACTATGAGATCCGCGATTGATCCTGGGGGGTTACAGGCGCGTTCGCCTTGGGGGTTATGGGCGCACGGACCCGCTACACAAACAAGCCCTTTATTCCAGTGGTCTAGTGGCTGGGTGTCAAATGTTATAGCTTCTAGTGGGTTATGCTATATGGGGTACAAATTGTTAGGGTTAGGTATTTGTACCCCAACCCAATCAATCCAACTCATTCCGCTGTTTTCAGTTACTGGGATGGTATCTGAAGTATGTTCGCCGTTCCTAGGCCACACCTAGTCTCTGCCGTTCCTAGATTTAGGCCGTCTCTAGCCTTGGCGTGCCCCCCCCCCCCCCCCCCCCCCCCCCCCTACTAGCCAGCAGGCCCGCCAGCGTCCTAGCCAGCAGGCCCGCCAGCTCCCTAGCCAGCAGGCCCGCCAGCGCCCACGCCAGCGCGCCCCGCCAGCGCGCACGCCAGCGCGCACGCCAGCGCGCACGCCAGCGCGCCCCGCCAGCGCGCACGCCAGCGCTCCCCGACAGCGCGCCCGCCAGCGCATTACGCCAGCGCGCACGCCGGGGCGCACACCAGCGCGCCATGCCACCGCACCACGGACGGCCCGCCCGAGAGAGCACCGCGGCGCCTGCAGGCCAGCGCGCCGCGCCGCGCCGCCCGCCTGTCCGCATGCCGCGCCGCCTGCCCGCCTGCACGCCTGCGCGCCTGCCCACACGCCACTGACTGTCTCACCCTCTTGCGGCTGGCAGCGGCGCTCTCTCGCTTTCGCCCCCTATGGCGACCTTCCGAGTACTTCGCTTTGACCCTGAGGGGAGACCGATTGACTTTAGTACGTGGCTTACGCAGGCGCAGCGCCACCTTAAGAGCCAGCGGCAGGATGGCGTGCACCTGTTCGCACACGCGTCCGGTACTCAGGCTGCCCCTCAGCAGCCTACCGTATTTACCCGGGTAATGGACCCTCCAAAATTATAGCCCCCCGGGTTGTTAAATGGGGGTGGGTCTAATGCTATATGCACTTTCGTAATAAACCCCCATTTTTGTAACGAATCCGGATTAGACCCCCCACACTGTATACGCTTCAGACTCTTAGCGGGAGAGTAGGAAGCGACAAATTACTACAGCGAAATTGACTGCAAATTTTGACTGGACTGCAGAATTTGACTGCGCGTGTACCTCGCGTCAGGGTGTGGTCAAAAGTTTCGTGATGCAACATTGAAACTCTCGCTTCTAGTGCTAAAACACTAGTTCTGTACATGACTTCGAAGTATTAAATGCACATAAGATTATACCCCGGGTCTATTACATTTACACCCACTAAATAGACCCACCCCCCTTTTTTTCCCGGGGTAGGATTAGACCCCCGAGTTTATTACCCGGGTAAATACGGTAACCTGTTGCCCACTACCCCACCGCCTACTCCTGAGCAGGAGGCCGAGTACCAGCGCCAGTTCCTCGCTCGCGACGTGTGGGAGTCTCGTGACGCCGCTGCCTGCCTCGCCCTGACCGACCTTCTCCCGCCGACTGAGGCCGTCCACTTCACTCAGGTCGAGTCTGCTGCAGATCTGTATAAGGCTATTGTTGCTCGCTACTCCACTCCCTCCTCTGCTTCACTCAGTCGCCTCCTCGTACCCTTTATCTACCCTGACCTCGCCTCCTTTGAGACTGTCTCTGACCTCGTTACCCACCTTCGCTCCCTTAACACTCGCTTTCGCGCTGCTTGTATAGAGGACCAGCTTGCCCTTGCCCCGCCCCCTATGTGGCTCACTATTCACTGGCTAGTCACTCGCCTCCCTGACCGCCTAGCCACAGCCCGCGACGCACTTCTTGTAAAGCACCCCACTGAGCTTACTATCGATCTTCTTGAGACTGCGCTCTCGAAGTTCGACAGCAACCTCCTCACTGTTGCCTCTGCCTCTTCCGCGCCTCCTCCTCGTCTTTTTGAGGGGTGTGCGGTACCACAGCTTCCCACCTTCACTGCCTCACTTGCCACCCCCACGTCTTCTGCCTCTGAGGAGACGGCGGCTGTTTCTGTCTCTGGCGGACAGAAACGTGGCAAGGCCAGCAAGAAGGGCGGGAAGGGCGGCGGGGGTACTGGAGGTGGTGCGGGTAGTGGCGGTGGCGGTGGAGCAGGTGGTGGGAGTGGTGGTGGGGGTGGCTCGGGACGGCCCTCCTCTCGACGGTGGGGTTTTCACTGGCGGTGAGGGGTTCCAACAGCAGCAGCAGCCGGCTTGTCAGCAGCTGCCACCGCTTGAACAGCAGCAGCGGCAGGGATAGCAGCAGCAGCGACAGGGCCAGCAGCAGCGCCCGCCACAGCAGCAGCCTCAGCAGTGGGGCCCTCCGCAGTAGTAGAGGCCTGCGGGTCCCTCGAGCACTGGGCGCAGTGGCGCCCCCTCCAGTCGGGGACCTCGCTCGGCCGGTCGCGACGTTGGTCCCTGTGAGTACTGGATCCTTACGGG